TGGAAAGGGGGGGGGGGGGGTCATTGTAAAAGCTTTCAGTTCTGCCTATGTAAATTCTGTTGAATAAAAAGGGGTGAAAGTGTATTTGTCTTAACAGAGCTTGAGATCTAGACAGAATAACAGTAGGAGCATCATGTAAGAAGCTCTGGTGACCTGCTGTAATAAATGTCCTAAAGTTAAACAACAGATTAATTTGGTTTAACTCCATTCCCCAATCTTGTGGCTTCAGTCCAGACTAGTGTGGCAGGCCACAGCCTTGAAGTTAGGGCCTTGGCCTTACAGCACAGCCACTCACCTCAGTCTGCCACCCAAGACGGTCAAAGCTAGCATGAAGCTTCCAATAGGGCCTAACCCTCCACCCATTCCCTGTCAGCAGAGTGGCCAAATTGGGATTATCTAACCTCCACTTCCCTCATATAGACCCCTTACCCAGAACAGGAAGTGTCTGGGCAACTGGGCAACCTGACTCAAGTCTACTTTGCTGCTTTCTCTGTCTTGCTTCTTGATGTCACCCTCTGTTTGATCTCCTGGCTGCCTGACTCAACCCATCCCTAGACTTCACTTTTGTTTGATACACCACTGCTTCTTGACATGGCTTGTCCCTTAGCTTTGCTTTTGAATTGGCCTCCTGGCTTCCTAACCTGGTTCGACCTCAGGTTCCTCTTACCTATCCCAGCCCTTGTCGGTGGCTTGATCCCTGAGTGAGCCCAAATCAGGCCATCCACATTCAAGTGTGACACCTGCTTCTGGCTCCTGACCTCATCTGATCCTGATCCCCTGGCTTGTGACTCCCTGACCTTCCCTACTTCTGATACCCTGAATCATGAACCTTTAGTGTCAAGCCCCACGGTGACTGCCTACATCCCAGTGATTCCCTGACACTGATGTGCTTGAGGAAGTTTATATATAGTGTGCTTTTATAAGAAGGATCCTTGAAAATATACAGGGGAAGTGGGGATAAAAGGCTCAGAGATTAAGAATGAATTAAATATCCTAGCTAGTTAACTTTTCACTTAAGCCCAAGCATCTACAAGAAAAGAAAGGGAACTGACAAAGGAAGGAGGGAAATGCTATACATCTTTGCAGTCTGACTCAAGATTCTCAAGCCACAGCAGCAGAACTCTGACTTCTAGTCCAAAGATAAATGCATGGCAAGAGTAGATGAAGAAAGACTTGTCTACTTGTGGAAATTAAGTCTTTTCTTGTAAAATTATAGAGAGAGGTAGTTAGCTGTGTTAGTCTGAAGTCAGGGTAGGTTTGCACCTTATAGACTAACTAAATCTGAGATGTATAAGCTTCTGTAAACAAGAGCTGTCACTGATCTGAAAGGCTCACATGATCAGCTGTTGCCATCCTGGCAGCAACAGCTGATTGAGACCAGAGAAGCTGGAGCATGGGGTGGTCTCCAGCTGCCTACGAGCCCTCTAAAGCTCCCCATTTGGAACACTCAGACTGGATCCCACCGCTGCAAGGAGTGCTCCAATCTTGGCAGCTTTCAAGCAGGGAACTTTTAAGGGCTCATGGGAAGCCCAAGACGAGACTGGTGCTGCCTACAATCCCTGCTGTTGTTCCATCCTTGTCCCTGTTGCTGTCTGACAGCAGCCAGGACAGGGTTGCCTGCAAACCAGTCCCTACAGGGCTCTGACAGCTCCCTGCTGGAAGAGGGGGAGGGAGAGAGGAGTACTGTGGGTACAGTGGGGTCTCTCAGACATGACCACTTGTTAAATTTGTCCCAGAAAGACAAAGAAGTTGCTGTTTCAAATAACTTTGAGCAACTTCTTTGTTGTGAATCTGTCATCTTTGTGGCAGACTGGCCATTTTTTTAGTGAGACAGAGAGCATGAATGTGTGGCCAGCTGCTTTTTCTTGTGCTAAACAACAGATATGGCTGGACAAGTGTAACTTCTGTCTAAGCCATAATGATGATGGAGACTTTTCTTGAAAAAGATTGTCTACTTTGCTTGCTCCTCTAAATTGCAGTACAGAGGCCCAGAGACTGAAGCATTACTTTGGAGTTATTTGTTGTATTTTCCTGCATACCGTATGCACCCACGCCCCCCTGCCCCCCCAATAAACTACCTTGTTTTTGGAAGGCAGAATGTAGATAAACTTTTTTCCAGAGCTGTGGGGCTTGCCAGGGGTGCATCTCTATAAGCAGGGAACCCCAGGATTTCCCCACGTCCAGACATGCACTCCAGATATTGCTAGGAGTGCATACCTCTAAGTGCAGAAACCCTGGCTTTCCCTGCTTCCAGAGATATAACCCGGGGATGCCAGGGACACAGCTCTGTAAGCAGGGAAGCCACGCTGGCACTTCCAAGGGTTGAGGGACCCAATGCTGCATGGGAATTCCCAGGCCATACAGAATAGGGTGCCTCCCTAGTAGTACCTGCCCAGAGTGTCTGGAGAATGCAGGTAGTTAAATTATTAAAAGCTTTTGTTGCAGCCACAGATGTTGGCATTTGTGGGGTGACAAAGGGTGTGGATATCTATTTGCTTTGGCTTCATACCATCATATTTGTTTATGGCAACATACAGGCAGTGAAAGGCAATGTCTGTTTTACCCCTAAAGATTACAACAAACCTACCAAAAAAGCATATGATGCGGGAGCTTTGACTAAGAATAATAATAGAACCTGAGGGAGGGCACCTGATTCCCAAAACCTTGTCCACCATTTTTAAATGCCCTCAATTTTCCTTGTATTGGGAACAATTAGAGGTGGTGGACATTTGTAAGAAAAGGGCAATTATTCATGTCTTTCTATAAAGACAAGTTTTATGGAACAATTTCTGCATGCTTCACTGCTTGTTTGAGTAATACTCATATCTTTGTTATTTGCCTTGTGGCAATGTGGCGCTTAATCCACACTTTTTCCTATCATCACAAAAATGAACAATTAGGCAATTTAACTGAGAAACAAACCAAACCAAACAAATACTGCATAGATGATTCTGATGCCTGCAGCTAGTTGCTAAAAAAATGAAAATGAACCATATTGGGTGCATCTACATGTGCATTTTAATGAGCAGTAGCCTATTCTACTACACATTAAAGCATCACATCAAAAACAGTGCTAATACGCTAATGCACAGTAGAAATAGGCTACTGCACATTAGGACAGCCTAATGCATATTTATGTAATACCTCATTTTAGACGTACTAAACTCAATGCACAGTAGCAAACGTGTATAAATGCACATATAGACACGCCCAATGAAACTGAGAATACATTTTATCAAGGATGTATTGTATGAACAGAGCTGTCATTGGCCTTTTACTTGTTTCCAGGTTCAGCACTGGTGTGTACACATCACACAACTAAGGATATGCAGAGGCAATTATTAGGTAGCATATTTTACCTTATTAAATACAATATCACAAGTTACTTACCACATTAGGAATAGCAAGATGTACTTCAGCTTTTAGAAAGCAAACAACTTCTTCAGATTTGCTTGCCTGAGAAAAAAAGCCTGATCGTCCAAAGGAACTGGTGCTGAAAGAATATTGAAAAACATTGCATATTCCACCATACAATTATTTTAAAATACATAGCAAACATAATTTTAGTTAATATAAAGAGAAACAGCTTCCTCTGTACTTCTGTCTTCAGCTTCTCTGAAGTTAATATCTTTGAGAACTCTCACCCCAAGTTCTCAGATCTCTCATGCATGACAGACCAAACTCATTTATTTTTAAAGCTTTGATGCCTAAGGGAAGAGGCTGTAGACCTAATTGATTTGTATGAAAATTGCTATTTTTTGTTTCTCTTCCTTCAGTCTTTGTCTGTCTGCCAGTCCTCATGATGGGAGTTGCTTGAGGTAGAAACCACTGCCTCTTGAATTTCTGTAAAACACCCACTACATTGTGGTGCCACCAGGAACCAAACAGAAGTGAATTTGAAATATGTCAGACTGCCAAAAGCTCTAGTTTGTCAACAGTCTACTGATAGCTTGAAAGTTATTAAAAGGGTTTGTGTCACAAAAAGGGAGTTTTGCACCTGTTTATAACACAAACAAATAATTACATCAATAAAAAATAATAATTTTTCCTTGCTGCTTTTTATCAGCTTTTGGCAGTAACGATAAACTAAGTTTTCATACTATCCCTTTAATATTCACTAATTAGGCATCTATTATAGTTTCATAGTTTCTAGGGTCGGAAGGGACCTAGGCAGATCATCTAGTCCGCCCCCCTGCCATGGCAGGAAAGAGTACTGGGGTCAAACGACCCCAGCAAGGTGGTCATCTAGCCTCCTCTTAAAAACCCCCAGGGTGGGAGCCTGCACCACCTCACTTGGAAGCTGGTTCCAGACCCTGGCCACCCTGACCGTGAAGTAGCGCCTCCTGATGTCCAACTTGACCCTTCCCTCCGCCAGCTTGTGACCGTTATTCCTGGTCACTCCTGGTGGCGCTTGGGGGAACAGGGACTCCCCCAGTGCCTGTTGATCCCCCCTGACTAGTTTATAGCAGGCCACAAGATCCCCCCTCAGCCTTCTCTTCTGGAGGCTGAACAGGTTCAGGGCCCGTAACCTTTCCTCATAGGACCTGCCCTGCTGTCCCTTGATCATGTGAGTGGCCCTCCTCTGGACCCTCTCGATGCTGTCCACATCCCTCTTAAAGTGCGGCTCCCAGAACTGGATGCAGTACTCCAGTAATACTTCACTTTTGACTTACTTTGAAACAAATATTCTTTTTTTAAGTGTATCCAAAGATAGTCGGGTGGTTTTTAATAGACTGTCCAGTAACTGATGGCTGAAGTATGCAACCATTTCTTTACATTCCTGTAACAAATAAAAATATTTAGATCTTGCCCATATATTACCACATAACTGTAAGGTAAAAAATAAATCTAAAAGTAGTAAATAGAACCATAAAAAGTACTGTAAAGGACAACCATCTGAATTATTTGCAATCTCTTTTTCTTCAATACATTTTCTCTCATTTTAGTAATCTGGAATTTCACTTGCTTTTTATTTTATTCTGTAGTGTCTATACCCAAGAAAGTCTTCCCCAGTCAAAACTTTGACTTTTCGGCACCCTTTTCACCATTTGAAAACCAAAGAATAATTAGAAGAAACTGGTCAGTTTTTTAGACTGATTAGCTCATATTCAACCAGGTCCTGAAAAGTATTGGATCCATGTCACTTACTAAAAGAAATCTTATATAATTATTGTTTAAAAAGTAAATTAAAACACACACATACATCACCAAAGCTAAGCTATTCATAATACCTTTAAAATAACAAATTAGACTCAACACTGGATGGAATTAATACCAAAAAATAAGTAATCCTTATACATTCTAAAATGGATTTTTAAGGGGTGGCTGGCAATTTCATTCTAAATTCCAACTAAACAAAATCATCCAAATCAATTTAATCTTTGGATTAAAGCTGTCAGGAACTTAATTCTGAAGCCAAGCTATGTCATATCTAAATCACAATGCCCGGATCAATTATAAGGCTTCCTCCTTAGGCCTCCATGCTCATATGATGACTAATCCATACCTTTCCTGCCCCTTCTATGAAGAGATAACACAGAGTTCAGTGAAATATTTTTGTTAAGAAGGATGACAATCTTTACATACCTGAAACTACAGATAATTTCAAAATTCTTGGAACCTTAAATTGTGAACACAGAACACATTGAATTGTTTTATGAAACAATATTTAGGACTGCTTAAACCATAAGAATTTTCTCTCTCTAGTACTTTTCCCATGCAGACTGAGCAGACTAAAGATCAGAAAAGTATATACATGCATGCAATCAAAATTTAATATACTAAAACTAAAGTCTGGGATGTCTCCTAGTTAATAAAAATAGCAAAAGGGAAACTAAGATACTTAAGATAACAAGAATTTATTAAATATTCAGTTCCCACAGAGCATCCCTAACACAGACACACAGGGAGCATGCAGACAAGTGGGAATGTGCACTTCCCCGGGGACAAATAGATTAGATACAAGGAAATCAATTATGTGCCGCTGCTACTTGTCTCTGGGAAATGCCTCTGCATGCGTGCTCTAGAATGCAGCAAATTGCCCTGGGTGGGGTAGGAGAGGCTGAGGCCAGCACCTGGGCTCGCCCCAGCAGCCTTACCTGGGGTCCTTGGGGCCTCCTGGGGCTTCAGTAGCAGCAATCTGGGTATGTGGAACCTGACCAGCAGCCAGAGTGTGGCTCTGGCCAGCCAGGCTCCAGTTTCATGTGGTGCATGCTTCAGCCACTTTTTTTTGCCTCATTTTTTTAGATGCTACGATTTTCTGGTATCTAATTTTGCCTCTGTGATACAAATACACAGTACGAAGAACCTTTTCATATGTGTTGCATGCCTTTGAGGTGCTGCAAAGTTCACTTTCCCACTCATCTGGATGTGCCCACTGAATCATATAAGAAGTGAAAGATGGAGTTCTTAGAAGATGGCTGAAGAAACAGGTGAGGGGGTCAGACCCCTTCTATATAATAATCTATTAGTTAGAATATTTTCTCAACAGGTGGGAGACCTAGATGCAACTCCCCCTCAGACTGCAAGGATTCAAACCCACATCTCTGACCTCCCAGAAGAGTTCCCCAAGCACCATGCTATAGGCTTTTCAATGTATGTATAGGGATACTTTCCACATCTCTTGGGCTACACAAAGAAGTTGCATTTGTTCAGGGAGAAATCATTTTATCCTGGGACAAAGTACAGTTGTTCAGACACCCATAATCTGTTGTCCTGGGCAAACCCTGAAAAGGTTCACAGGATAAGAAATACTAAGAGTTTCTCCCAGGACATGCAGCTGAATGGTTGTCCCAGGACTGCATCATTGAATCAATGACAGAAAAGCAGCAGTGCACTGAGCTGCTCACTAAACCCTGATTGGAAAGGTGACATCTATACATGCCAATCCTAGGACCGTTCTGCTTCAGGACAAACATAAGCACAACTTGTCCCAAGACAAATGCAATGTCTGCTCTTAGCCTTGTAATTCAGGAGAGGGAGGGAGTGAAAAAGTAAGAGAGAAACATGATTCTGTGGCCGAGCGGGTTGGTCACTTGATATAGGGCAATCTTGGGTTCTGGTTCCTGCTACCAGAATTTCTTGTGTAATTTACATGACGTAGACATTAGATAAAATACAAAAAATAGTTCTTGGAACCTGGTAAGTACCCTCCATAGGCGGTGGAAGGCCAGGGCTAAGGGAGCTTAGCCCCCACAAACACGGGGCAGCAGGGCAGCCCAGGCTCTGGGCAGCTGCAGCAAGGGGGGAGGGGCATGCACAGACTCAAGATACACAGCTTCAGCCTGCATGCACCCAGGATTCCAGCCCAGCAGCATGTGGAGCACTGCCCAGCATGGCAGGCAAGTCTGTTAAGGGGTATGGGGGGGCAAAACTGAAGCCCCCACAGTGAGGGAGGGAGTGGGGCAGATGCAGGGACAGGGGTTGGGGTAAATGGAGCCCCAGTGCAGGTCATGGGATGGCTAGAACCCACGCAGCTCATCCAGGGGTGCAGGGGGGCTCCTGCTGCTGCGCACACCCTGGGGGAGTCATGGGGGCACATGCCCCCTGGATTTGTGCACAGGGTAGAGCAGAGGCAGGCTGTCACTGTGGGCTGGGCTCTGGACCCCGCTGCTGTTGCCTTGGGAGCTGCACAATGCCATG